AAAACAAAAGCCCGTTTTGCAAAAATAAAACTGTATAAGCCCTTTATATAGTTTATGTGCTAAACTTCCTGCAAAGTCTTCCTCCCTTACAAACTCTGCCTGCAGATGAAGTGTTTTAACCTTGCCCTCTTAATTTATTCTACATTCTAATTTTCAATAAACAGATGCCGCCTCTTTTTGCGCTTGTTTCCACATTGTTCCACATTCTGCCTGTGTTGTTTCTGCATGTGTGAATATTCAATTATCTATTTCTCCATGATTCTGATGTACTAAATGTCTGTACAGGTTTGGGGGAGGGTAACCGGGGAAGGCAAAACTTAGAGGAAAGAGAGTTGCAGAAGTTTGAACTATTCTGAGAGTCGGGTACTTTCCCTGAAAGCTGCTAAGTTAAGAAGAAAATCACAAGCCACAACTAGAAATGCAAGGATTACAAAAAGACAAGCGCACGGAAGCAGATTTGCTGCACGCTGGCTCATACCGTGCCAGTATTTCTTTGGTCAGCGCTTGGGTGTGAAATGCTCAATAGAGACCGAGGGGGCAGAAGAGGCTGTTGGTGCTGCCGCTTCTGGAAATTGTGTCTTTTTTGGATAAAAAGCACAAAGCAGCCGATTGCCATTGTGGTTATTGATAGCTAAGAAGAGCTGATAACATATCTTAGGACTCAAAAGTGAAGCACTGCTATATAAAGGATGAAATGCTACTCTTTACGGGAATGGCCCAAAAAAGGAGATCACAGGACAGGCATAAAGGTACAAAGGTTCTTCAGTACAGCTCTCAAGACCTTGTGGCCCAAAAGCCTAGCTGCAGATGCGAGTAGCTTTAATCCATAAATCTAAGGAAATGCACAGAACTTGACCGTTAGTAACTGCTGCTGCATTATTCACTGGTAAGGATACCTCTTTCCTGAAGCACTGGTGAGTTCTTACTGGTTGCAACCTGCACCATTACCTCGCTCTTTCCTGAAGCACTGGTGAGTTCTTACCGGTTGCAACCTGCGCCATTACCTCACGCACTCCTAGCTGGGAACCCGAGTGACTTGTGTCGGCGGTTGCTCTCATGCTGTCCTGATCCGACTCTAGTAACAACCACCAAGCGTGGAAATATTTTTATTATGGACAGCTTTAAGGCTCTGTGGAAAAACGGAGCTAAACTGCATTTCAGAGGTACGTACCAAAACCGGTAGGCTGGGCAGGGACAAAGGCTGGGTTCAGAGGTTTATGTTTGCCAAAAAAGGTACAAAATTTAGAACGGCAGAGGTGGATCTGGAGCTCGCACACAGGAGCCTGCAACTGGTGCAGTTTCAAAAGCCAGGGACGCTAATTGGAAAGATGGCAGAGCAAGGACATGCCCATTCAGAAGCTTCAGCTCACTGGGCAGCCTTTGCCAGCAGGACTCCTGCACAGCTGCAGCTGGCCGGTGAAGCCAGCCTTGCTTTTATGTTTGCCAAAAAAGGTACAAAATTTAGAACGGCAGATGGGGATCTGGAGCTCGCACACAGGAGCCTGCAACTGGTGCAGTTTCAAAAGCCAGGGACGCTTTGGAAAGATATGACAG